CCCCACCACTAAACGAATTAAAAAGAAACTCTGATAGTGGAAGTCGCTTATTCAACCCCGCTGATAAACAAGCCCTTCATTAGAGCCGACCCGTAGGCAGTAGCATTCACCTCATATTCCCACGACACAATTCTCTAAGATTCATCTTAATATTATCCTCCTGTCTTACGTCTGTCCCTGTAATTTACTGTGTAATTAAGCTGGCATGAAGGAGTGTGGGGAGTGGAGGTATATTTCCATAATTTTTTACCTGTGCACTAGAGTAGGCGAGTTGTGAGATTCACGACCCTGCCGATTTACCCCCCCCCCCCCCACGAACGGGCCCGCGCTGCACCACCCTGGGGCAGAACAAGACAGTGATNCCCCCCCCCCCCACGAAGAGGGCCTCAGGTACCCCTAGACTAGGAAGATGAGTAGGTTCAATGGCCGGTCGGGAGCTGTGTGAAGAGCAAAGTCCCTTGCTCCTGCCAGGAATCGATCCGCGTTTCTCCTTTCCGTAGTCTATTTCCGGCCAAGATATTTCTCCGCCAAAATTGTGTGTGCATTTCTTTGTTTCCCCGCTGAGGAATGTGTTCAGTCCATCGTTGCCTCCTAGATATGATTATCCTTTCAGCACTTGGTGACCTGTATAAACCCCGACGTTCCTGGTTTGTGTATTATTCTAAATTGAAATTGCTTCGCTGCTCTTGGGTTAATACTAATGTTACAAGCTATTTGAAAAGGGCAGGGCCCCCTCCCCCCGCCATATGCGAGTGAGAATTGTTAACATTTCCTGATGTCGTTGAGCCAGCCTTCCAAATATAGTTGAACAAGTTTCTGTATTTCGGTATAAGTGGTCTTTGAGACTAATATCCCAAAGAAATTTGTAGCATGTAACCTAAAAATTTGTAATCGTCGCCATATTGGTTATTGTTGAATTATAACGAATATTTAACACACAGTTTTTAATGAATATTTATAACGTATCTGCATGAAATAATTATACGTTTCTAGTTCTAGTGATTCGTCAGGTATCGTTTTCAAAATTATTCAAAATTACATATGCGCCCGTACAATAACAATAGTCCCATATGTTAATTATTTAGACTGTCAGGCTGACTTCTATTTCACAGCCGCACAATCGCTACTCGAAGCGGCCAGACCATGCCAAGGGGTTACATTAAATATAGATCTTATAACCTTGGTTACCATGGGAACAATGCATAGCGTGACAGATGAACTATCCACCATTTTCTGAAGAGAACAGACATTAAAGTAGATTAATAAATACTTAATTTAAGCCTTTGGTGTCAGCTATCTTTAGAACTTTAATGGTGATTTTAAAGTGACTGATTAATCGATATGTTTTGGTAATTAACCTTTCTCCTACAGAACATCTTTGAGAGCAGTGTTTAAAAGTTTACAATTCTGTAAATTTATTGTGCAGATCCATATACTGGCGAGGAACGTGCTGCAGAAGAAACAGAGGACGAATTCTTGAAGGAAATGGAGATTTGCTACAAGAGAAGCACAGAAGAGAGACTTGCACCTCAAGTCCCGGCCACGAGGCCAGGTATGCAGACTTGCGCGCCACTCGCACCGGACAAGCAAACCCAACGACGTTAACTAAGGTTCACAGGGCGGTGCGCATGAAGAATATGTTACGCTGTGTTGTGACGCCGTGCAGTCCGGAGATAGCCTCCATCTTCAGGGCCCAAGAGTGAGCAAAGCAAGAAAATGGCGAAGGCAGGCGTCAAGCTGATCTCCGAACAACAATCAAGGAGACCATTCCATTCATTTCCGTTCTCATTGATAAGTTACATCACACTTGGACCCTGGAAGCCTCTAGAAGTGTTCGGTAATCCGGTTTCATATTCGCAGTGTTCCCTGTTGTAAACTCCGTGCAACTATACGGTCCGAAATACTTAACTTTTTGCTCAGTCTTCTCGGTAAAGTTGTATGCTATAATGTTGCGTTCGTCCACCCCAGTCTGCCATGCGAATTGGGATTGCTGTGAGGCGGAAGTGTCAATCAGGCCTTCTGTCCGCATGTTTCATCTTCCAAACTTATTGAGGCTTTCAGTGATCCTTCCTGTATCATGATTGTCCATTATAGTGTAAATTCCATAGAAGAACACACGTGAAATTTCCCGCAGATTTTTGACAGTATTAAGTCATTTGAGTAAGTTCGCGATAGCAGAGATCAAAGCTTCGCTCCTAATGCTTAAGCGCGAAAATGTACGAGATTGTAAGGCAATACAATCTACATTCAATCCTCACAAATTATTTCCCATTTTATAACTATATAAAAAAAGTAAAACTATCCCTGTAACAGGCCGTGGAGGCCCATAGGATTGTGAGATGTTGAGGTCCTTACATTTTCTAGACAATCGGCTCATAGATGGCGGCAAGGTTGTCAGCCTTACGCGCCGGCCGCCCTTTACCCCCAAGAATATTCCTGGTACTCATTTCGTTTAGAGGCTGAGTCGACCCCAGGGTCATAGTGCGGCCAAAAGGATAATGTCAATTGGAAAAAATCCAATGACCTCATCGGGACTTGAACCCGCGACCTTCCGGCTTGTACCATAGTGCCCCCTTATAACTATATATAACACATATATAGCCCATGTGCAATATGCCTGTGTGTGTGTGGTGTAGCATTATTATAGTTCCCACCTGCTTTAGTTACGAAACTGTGCCACGTATTTTCGTCACCGTTTCTAACCCGGCTCTGAGATACAGCCTACTTCCTATCCAATAACAGCCGGGGATCGTTTTCCGGGTGACAAAGCGACCAATGTATGAGTTGTCCACTTATGTCGAGGTTTAAGAATATGCAAGCCTTAATTCCAGCTCTGCATGTGTTGCGATGGCGCGATCCTGAGTAGTACGGGGGTACTGGGACAACTTTCTCTCTACATTTTAAAGGTGAACGCGACAATGAAAAGTGCAGGGACACGGCATAGAAAGGAGCTCGGTAATTAGATTCATGTTCTTCGTATACGAGACATTTCTGCCAGCCATTTCGTGGAATCCAGACCCTGTCACAGAGACTAAAATAAAACTTAACGCCACTGTCTCATACCGAGCTCTTTGTAAATTCCTAAGTACTTTCCAGTTTTCTAAAATTAAACAAAAATTAAATCATTCTGAAAACTAATACTTCTGCGAAATTTGGCATAATAGGCAAAATGTTCATTCTGCTTACATTCCCGTGACTTAAGCAAGCACTGGGTACTACAGCCATCGCATAGATGCTGGCCGGTCTGGTTAGTTTTATGTTTCTTTCCGTTTATAGAGAGTGTAGACTTGTCCAGCCCTCCGCGAGATTTGATTGGATCATGTTCTCTTGCTTCCAGAGTGTTAGCAGTTGGTTAATACTTTAATCTCCAAAACTGATCAACTGATTTTGATGAAACTTGATACCCGTTATCGATTTTGGTTCATATTTGTCCAGTACAAACGTTACTACACGTAAATGAATGGAAATTTGTTCATGGCTTACAAATCTTTATTGGGATTAATACATTGGTTTAATTAAAATGTAGTGTTCATTTTTCCATGAGTATCAGTAATACTAAATCTATTGTAAAGTAAAAAAGTACAGGCATCCCTGTAACAGGCCGTGGAGGACCATAGGGCTGTGAGATGTTGAGGTTCCCACATTTTCTAGACAATCAGCTTACAGATGGCGGTGAGGTAGTCAGCCTTACGCGCCGGCCGCCCACTAAATGTAATCTAATACAGGGCAAATAATTTACGTGCTGATCCCCCTCAGTGTGGCACTGATGAGCATTGAGACTCAGCACTTGTAGTTCATGTAAATGAATATTGCCACCAGCAATTCATGTGGAATTGAAAGGAAGCAGCTTGAAAATGCGGGTACTCCAAAGTTGAGTACACGGTTTCTTTATTGTTTTCTATTGCCGAAACACGAAGGGGCTTAAATTCGTTGCAATTTGGCAACTTCACATAGCCACTATATGCCGGTTTTATCTATGGCAGCCGAGCAGAAGTTTGGAAGAAATTACTTGTGAAGCTTAGGGCTTGGATCTTGAAAGGACAGTCTGTGAGGGTGTAAACTGCAAACTTTTGGCTCAGGATACAGTCCAGTAGTGGCTGGCTCTTGGTATATGCGGCGATGAACCTTCAAGTTCCATGAAATACGAGAAATTTGTTGACTGGCTGGGAGACTGTTAATCTTCTCAAAAGTAACTCTATTCCTTGAAAATATTCAGTTAGCAGCAACTTAGGAACTTCCTGCAACATGCAGGTCGCCTTGCATTGCCAGGAGGCTACAACAGACTGGACATAAGCTGGGACAGAAATGATAAGGAATGAATACAGTTTTTTGGTTGGTAAACGTCTTGGAATACCGGAAAGAAGACTGAAGGCTAATATGAAGGCGAATCTTATCGAGATAGATTGTGATAATGGGAGGTGGATGGAATTGGCTCAGAACGTGTCCAATTTAGAGCTTTAGCGTTGTCGAACCTTAAGGTACTATTACCAGAGAGTTATTTGTTTAGCAATCAGAGTGCTAGTTTGTTAACTGAGGTTGAAGGTATCAAAACGGAGCAGGGTTGCATAGCAGGCATAACATTTAAAAGGACGGAGAATGAGTGTCTACCTTCATTATATTTGTAATGTAATTCAGCCATTAACAGAAATGAGTACCAGGAATATTCGTGGAATATTCTTGGGGGTAAAGGGCGGCCGGCGCGTAGGGCTGACAACCTTGCCGCCATCTATGAGTCGATTGTCTAGAAAATGTGGGAACCTCAAAATCTCACAACCCTGTGGGCCTCCAAGGCCTGTTACAGGGATACCTTTACTTTTACTTACTTATTTTAATTCGATAAGAGATCCACAGGAAGAAAGTCAGGTAGTTGCAGTAAAAATTGTTTTCTATAGAAGGAAGAGTTTCTTCAGTACTACAATGGATTACAGCCATGAAACACAAATTCAACATGTTTTCAGGTTATGCTATTTGTATTCTGTGACGTGCTTTATCCCTATCGTTTTCGGCTTTCTGTTTGGTGTTTACATCTTCCTTCCCTCGAAGCTCTGTGTTCTAGACAAAAGTCGTTAAGTTCTCAGCCAAGAATTTTTACTGTAAATTTAGTTTAATTTCATATTATCGCTCCCGAATAAGGGAAACAAACTCGTTGAGATGAATAAATATTCTGAACATTTATCACCACATTTGTTTGGTCTGTAATGAGAATTCCACGAAAGCCTCCAAGAGCACGGGGATATTTCGGATTCAGAGACGTAAAGTCAAGCGAAATGTTGGCTATTTAGTTATTTTCTACTAAATTTAATTCATTCAAAATTTAACAAAAGAGAGCTAACTTTGTGAGTAAATTGACAAGCCTGAACAACCAGTTTTACAATTCCCGAGAGTGATAGGGTGTTTTCCTTTCGCGTCATCTCCAACCTAGTCCAGAGGCCGACTCAATTAACGCCGGGTTTCTTCCCCAATAGGAAATGGCATGTGCATACAATCCAGCTGCGTCAAGCCTCACCCACTGACTAGATGATGAAATGCCTTGATAACTCATGCATTGACGTTTTGATTAACCAACTGACTAATTAAATTGATGATTAACTCATGAACGGATTAACTGACGGAAAGGGCATCAAATTAACTGAAAAAAAGATTAACTACTCCCTTATATATTAAGAGAGGAACTACCTAAGTAACTGACTTGCTGACTGATTCACAAATCGATTAATTAATTCGCTCACACACAAAATAACCAGCCTACTAACCAACAGATTTATTAACCAATCTTTTGACAACTGTTAGTTATTTAGTGTATCAAGATTTTCTCTGCTCATACGAAAGTACAAGATTTGTGTGATAATGTGGCCATGTACCTTCTACCCTCACAGCTGCTTTATTTTTAAATACATACGTTATAATTATAATGCGATCTGTCTGTGTGTTTCTTTGGTGTTGTGCTGTGTCTTGTTGCTCATTTTCTGCAACTGAGATCGTGCCAAGAACACCCGTGACGTCAACACTACAAGAGCCAAAGGAAATAAAGCAATACAGATCATAGTTAGGTCTCCCTGCCTTCCTGCACATTTGTTTCTTTCTCAAACGTTGAAAAAGTATTCACAAAAATCACGGCTTTCAAAAGCAAGTTTCCGGTTGGGACTAAAACCTCTGGCGACAATAGTATATCACAGGAGATATCCCAGATTTATTGAAGAAGTGACGTAACACATCTTAGACAAAGACTTAAATGACAAACCCAATAAATTTGATAGAATGTGTGCTACTGTCCCTTAAAATAACTTCGAAAACTAAACCAAGAAAGGAACAGCTGAAATTTAATAAAGCAGTAGCATTACCAACCATTCACAGTGGCCGCGAGGTCTAAGGCATGAACGGTTTTCCCTCACTCGAACCCTGGAGTCGAGGGTTTGAATCTCACTTAAGGCATGGATGTTTGTGTGTGCGTTTATTGTGTGTTTGTGTTGTTCTGCGTGTAGATAGCCCCCTTGCGACGGGATGATCTGTCCAAGGAGTCCTACCGACCGCCTAAGATTAAGAAACTGAAGTAGAAGCCAGGGCCCAACAAAGGATTGTAGAGCCATTGATGAGTAACGGAATGAATGAATCAAGCAGCATTACCAAATATTCCAAGGAAGTGAATCTAGGGCAATCAAAGAACGGGGCATAAGCATGACGTAAACTCTAGAGATATGTGAAAGCCTACGAAAAAGGAAGACTGTATTTGTCACAGGAGACAAGAGTCTGACACATTCGATAAGGAATCTTTTAAACCAGCTGTACTGACTTATATTACAATGATTTTTGAGCCCCTGAATAGTAACGATTTTAAGATGTGTATTATCTAAGACATTTTATGTCAGTTCTTGAGAACAAAATGAACAGTTTTCATGGCCAATAAATTTTAATAAAATTACTTTTTATTTCCAACGAAAAATACTTTGAAAAACAGAGTAAATCTAATTAGAAACATATATTAGCAGTGAAAACTCCGCAAAGTATATCGATTTTTATTTCCATGAAAATTTGAAGAAATACCGAAGGACCCTTCCTGTCGGACTGGCGCAGTAATACGCGTAAAATCCTAACTTCAGAACTGTCCCCCACACAACATCGCCAACGTCACAGTTGTTTCTCGGGTACTGACAACGAAAATTTCCTTCTCGTGCATATTCGTGGCAATATATTGAGGCTAGATGAATTACCAGTAAACTTGATGAAGCCTGCGCAATGGGCTCTTAGATCTCAGAGTATAAGTGTCATGTGCTTTGGTAAAGGAGACTGAAAATCTCCCGTTATACACAGAAAGTGTCGTAATTTGGAAAGGGGGTTCACGAGATGCTACGGTTTAGCGTAAATACTTTGTATGGGAACAATGTTTGGTTCCCATACTATATATATATTCAGCTACACTTCGATACGTAACATTCGTAATCACTATATAAATGTATTCACTTAAATACTTATGTTTATACTTGAAAGATTTGAGGTTTTCTCGGCGGTGACTATGAAGAATGCCGTCTTCTGGGATGTGACGCCGTATAGATATTGTGTAAACCGACGTTTCGGAGGAAAGTATCACCTCCATCTTCAGGGTATAAAAGCTGCTCGCGGATTACGGTTTACACAATATCTACACGGCGCCACATCCCAGAAGACGGCATTCTTCAAGCTTATACTTAGTTATTAATTGCACTTATGAGGCTTACGTAGTCAACTTCCGTTTACACCTCAGTTATTCCTAATGTCACAGACTGATGCCCAGAACATTACCAATTGATTTTCCCCCGGAAGTCCATTGAGAATCTCCTTTCTGACTGCAACATCTGTCCTCCAGACTCTCTCTCTCTCTCTTTCCCACAATGTACTTCCTGATAGGTTCACTGTCTCTTTCGAATTCCCAGACGCCATATAGTCTCATTGCCGGTCACGGTAGCCGAGCGGTCTAAGGTATGCACTGTCTTCGCTGCTCGGAAGCCGGGATCGTGGGTTCGAATCCCACTCAGGTCATGGATGTTTAGTTTGTATGTGTGCGTTTGTCTGTCTTTGTGTACAGGTAGAGGCCTTGCGACGAGCTGATCACCCGCCCAAGAAGTCCTACCGTACGTGTAAGATCTAGAAAAACCGAAGTGAACGGAGAAGTTCATGGAGGTAGGCCTAGGCCCACTGGAGCTGTAGTGCAAAGGAAAAAAAATATAGTCTCATTACCAATAAGTAACTCCTCCGAAATGTACCGAATGAATCACTTTTCTGACCTCCTTTCAGAAGATGCTTAACAACTCAGCCAAGGAACTCCGCCTTTGACATTTCCAAGGCAGACCTTACCAGTTTTCCCATTGATAATTCACAATTCCTTTAAACATTTTCAAATTTTCCGAGTGCCGAACATAAGCGGTGGCTTCCTTACGAAGATTTTCCTCAAACAGCTGAGAAATCCACCGCCTTCCATGTAGCACGAATATTCTTTGATATGTTTGTAAGAGCCCGGCAATGAGCTATGTCCTGAGGCAGCTGAATCCAGCCTATTGCCTCGCACATTACTTTTGTCTAAGATCCACTTTAGTATTATCTTCCTGTCTGAGTCTAAGTGTCCTAAATTGTCTGTTCCTTCCGATTCTGGGACGAAATATTTTAATGTGTTTCATATAGGTCACGTGGGGTGTATCCATATTGTAGACATATAGAGAGATATTCGGTATTGATAGATGCAACGAACATAAACTTTGACACTTCGTAGCGCCTCATCGGACGTTGCGGTGTTGCGGTCTGCACTTCTGCCTCGTATTCGGAACATTCTGACAACCGTCTCTGCTACCTGATCCTCTTTTCCTGAATCTGGGCAAAGCTGGCACAGAACGTTACAGTAAGTCACAGCTATATTCTGGCGAATCCTTCCCAATTCACCTTTCACAGCAAACCTATTTGATGCCAAACAACAGCAATAGTTGAGAAAGTGCCATTAAATCAGCCAGTGACCCCACTGATTCATCAAAATGTATAAGCCTAACTGTTTAAAATAGCTCCTTTTTAAAGACATTTTACTACGTTTTAAGAATAGAGATAAAAAGACGAAACATCAGATTTTGCAAACGGAATCCAAAGTCTTAGTTTATAAAATATCTAAATATTGCAAGCTAGATGTGGAAAATTGTGGTATGTGTAGTGGTGCCAGGTCACAAGAACGCTCTCTTGAAGTAGCATTAAGATCAAACTAAGACCACGCAGCGAATCTTGCAGCTGTCCCTTCCTGATCGGCAAACCCTCACTCAGCCTCGTCGCGTTTAAGTTCTGGTACAGTTCTCATAAGACACGTTCGTTGCATTTCACATTTTATTTGCTACAGATGTCGGCTGATTCTGAACTTTGCAGGGTTCGCGTACGGCCTACCGGCTTTCTTCAGTACCGGAATAAGTGAATATAAAGACAGCATCAGCAGAGTGGCGTACTATATCTTCCAAAGGGATAAAAACGCTGGTATCAACAGGCTCGACAGGTATAAGCGGCCGACAGCCAGTCGCGCCACTTTGCTTGCCGATCAGTCATCTCAAGTCCCCAGACCCACAAGCGGCAGTCAAGCAGCGAACGCACGGCTCGAGGTGAGTAGGCAAATTGGAAAACTGTTCTCCAAGCCGCAGTACGCATACATTCAAAATGCGTTCTTTTGCGATTTTGCGTACCTCGAATGAGCTCAGTCGGTTTAATCACTAGCCTACGAGTTTTACGACTGAAGAATCTGCCACCTGCAGGTATCTTGCTCGGCTTATTATTCGACCCTGAAGACGGAGGTGATATATTCCCGCGAAACTTCTGTTGACTCTCAAAGGACTACGTGGCATTATATCCCAGAAGATAGTACTCACGGCGTTTGGGTTGAGAGACAGAAAATAAGGAATACGTTTGTCATGAAAGACGGTGTCTCAGTCGAGGTTCGAACTGAGACAATTCCAGAGCGCTGCCTCCTCACCGACCTGCCCTCTAGTATGAGTTTCGTTCATACCTAAGGGATGGACATACACTTGGACGGATCATAAAATAAAAGGGATTGCTAACAGACTGCAGTTGAGAAATTGATTGGAATGGATGGGAGATGCACAGCATCCAGTAAGGAGTTCTCTCATAGGTCCAGAAACAAGAGGGAAGATTGGAGAGAATGCGGTCCGATCAAATGTGATTCTCGGAACAGTCCCAAGGGGCCACATCCTTGGTAAGCTAAAAGAAGAAGCAGCAGAAGAAGGTTGAAACAATTACAAAACAAAATCTATACTGAGCATGATATCAAAATGTAGAACAGTTAACTGCATTTGCAAACCGCAAACGGGCGGCACGCATCTGAGAAGACCGATGGAGGAATTCGGTCAAATATCTACCTGGATGGTGTAGCAGTATCGCTGCAGACTCATATTTGGAATGTGCTTGATTCGAATCTCGGACGGGACACAGGATATACTGACTGCCTAGCACGACCGCTTCCTCCCACATCCCCTCACATTCATTACTCACTAGTCATCGCACCATTGGACGTCATTTTGCTTGTGCCACTGAAAACGTTGGCCAATGAAAGCAAATCCTCTGATATGTACGAAGAGTTTTGTAACGGCGAGTGCAAGCTCTGAAACAAAGAACTGGCCCGTCTTAACACACCTCTTGAACGTACCAGGGTATGGGAACTAAATTCTAGTTTCTTCTGGGCCGTCAGATGGTTCTAGTAGGACGTCAAGCCTGCAACGCACGGAGTGTGTCCGCGTTGTCCGTGTTGCTGACGTATTTCGCCTGTAATCTTCTCTACTGGAAAATGTTAGCTGAAAATTAAGATAAGTGAATTAAAAATATTGTTGCAATTGAAATGTTCGTACTGTGGTCCTGAAATGTATATAAGATGAAGTACTGATTGTCCTGTTTGAAAGAAAATTATTCGGCGGCAATATGCTGCCTTGCAGTCTGCTGGAATCCAGCCATGGCGAATCTTCCGCGCCCGGAGCGGAAAATTTAAATTAAGATGTTTGAAATGAATATGGTTGTTCGTTTGCAGATGGCCGTCACGGCGAAAGTTGGGTCTATTGTTGCAATCGCCATGCAAAAACGGAACCACAAAACATGCCAAAACCTATCAAACAGCGCCCGACCAAAAAAAGTTCGCTTACTTGAATGGCAAAACAAAATAGAAAAGATTCAACATTTCTATAATCCTTAGCTTCTCCAATTACATTTACTTCTTCCCGTTTAGTGGCACGTCATTCTGGACACCAAGTTAACTTTTCGTATGTGTCGTTACTGTTCGTACTGAGAGTGTGTAACACATTTGATGCATTAAATAATCCTGATTTGACACTTGGTGCACAACTTTTCCCCTGTACTAGCCGTGGATCACATGACATTTACTTACTTATGGAGCTGAGCCCTTCTTGAGGAACCGTCAAATCTGCAGCTACTCAGGAATTTCCTAACATTTTATGGAACCCGACGGTTCATTACCGTGTTCACAAGAGACCCTCCACTGGTCCCTATCCTGAGCCAGATCAATCCAAATCATACCATCCCATTCTATCTCTCTAAGATCCATTTTAATATTGTCCACCTACCTACACCATGGCCTTCCAAGTGGTCTCTTTCTTTCTGACTTTCCCACCAATATCCTATATGCATTCTTTTTCTCTCCCATTCGTGCTACATGCCCTTCCCACCTCATCCTTATTGACTTGATCATTCTAATTATACTTGGAGTAGAGTACAAGTTATGAACCTCCTGTCACTTCATCTCTCTTCGGTCCAATCATTCTCAACACCTTGTTCCCAAACACCCTCAGTCCATGTTCCTCCTCACATGATATAGGTCCTCGAAATGCTTCCACACATTCAGTCGCCCATCAGTCCACAGTCCTCTGTTGCTGTACAAGTCGCGCCAAGACACTGTAAGGACAGACCCGCAGTAGTGCCCAGGGTCCAATCGTGGATCGTAAGCAATGTTTCATAATATGCTGAAAAGCGAATACCAAAATAAATCATAAATGACGATATCTGGTTTTCAGTGAATTAATGTATCGTTCTCGCGGCAACGAAGAAATATTGTAGGCGTCGTTTTCTGTGCGATCCATATTGTATCAAAGGAAAGTAGGCGATTAGTTCTTCCGAGAACTTCTTGTTTAAATATGTAAGTAAATAAAAGTAAAAATATTGTATATTATTCTGTAAGATATAAGTACTGTGATTAACTTCAGCATGGAATAGATTCGTACAGATGTTAAACGAATGTCACGAACAGTGAAGTATACAAAACAGAAATTTTCCATGTAGTCTTTGTTACAGCATCCATGGAAACGCAGATCTTGGGACTGACTGGTCTAATTGCCGTTGTGTTCCAGGCGGAAGAGGCCGGCTAGTGTCCCTTGCTATCGATATAGCAGCAAACCAACCGGCTGCCTCCAAGCGTTTCCCAGGCCTTCATCTGCTCTTTACAGTGCACTGAGAAACCACTAAAAATATAAAATCAATACATGTAAACTTTTGATCTCAAATAAATTGGTTGCATGAGTAACACTGTCTACTGTATCATAGAGACGGGTCTGGATAGGTCAGCCATTGAAGTTGATGTATGCGGAGTGAAGTTGCCGGAAGACAAACTGAATTGTCTCTTCAGCAACGGATCAGTTATGGGTCCCTCTAGCCTTCTGTCCAATTGGTAACATGGTGTAGCAACCTTAGTAAAACTAAGTAGTAGGGTGTAGAAGCAACTCTACAGACTTGGCTCCAGGCGATATTTGTTTAGAAATCGACCCGATTAACGGCTACTATAATGTTTCTTGTACTTTTCCTCAGACACTCTAGCGAATGGGCCACGGTAATTTTCTTTTGATATCCTCAAACAATCAGTCACGAGGCCGGGCCATATCTCAGGTAGTTAATTGCCGGCTTGCCACCTCAGCCGCTCTGGTTCAATCCCAGGTCGGATCATGTGAGTTCTGTGGTGGACAGAATGGCTCTGGGGCTGGTTTTCTCAAAGTTCTTCGGTCTTCTATGCTGTTTCTCCTTCCACCGATTGTTCCATGTTCATTAATCACTCTGTCATCGACACTTATTGTCTCGATGCTGACAGCGCTGTTAAACAAGAAGACTCCCTCTCGTATACGCAGCATTCACGAAAATATTTCCAACTCATACGGCCTCATACCGCCTGTGTGGTTAAAATGGCGACATTAGCAGAATGAAACATGCCTAACGTCTGGTAGTGACGGGATAAAGTATCTGTGATCTGTACACCCCTAAGAAAATCTTTGATTGATGTGCGATCTGGCACTGAAACGCGAACTACGTGGTCAAGTGTTTCGTGTTCGGAAGGTCCAGGCTTCATATCTCCTCCTGACTCCGGCTATCATGACTGAGGTTTCTCGTGATTTTTCTTAGTCCCTACTGGAAAAGAGACATACTAATACCTCAAATTTGGCCATGACCTCTTCTTTCCCCATCCGTTCCAGTTCAGTAATCCCTGATCGTCCCTTCTTTCGACTCAGTAAAATCTGAGCCACTGACAGCGTTGTCAGATACAAAACAAAAGTAAAGCTATCCTTGTAACAGGCCTCGGAGGCCCATAGGGCTGTGAGACGTCGAGGCTCCCAAATTTTTCTAGACAATCGGCTCACAGATAGCGGTAAGATTGTCAGCCATACGCGCCGGCCGCGCTTTACCTTCAGGAAGATTCCTGGTACTCATTTCTGAAGAGGCTGAGTGGAATCCAGGGCCATAGTGCGGCTGGAAGGATTAGNGGCGGTAAGATTGCCAGCCATACGCGCCGGCCGCGCTTTACCTCCAGGAAGATTCCTGGTACTCATTTCTGTTAGAGGCTGAGTGGAATCCAGGGCCATAGTGCGGCTGGAAGGATTAGGCAAATTAAAAAAAAAATCCACATCATGAGGAACAAAACCCGCGATCTTCCGGCTTGTAGCATAGTGCCTCAACCAACTACGCTACCGCCCGCCCCCTACAAAATAGAACAATAAATAGAATAAATTATAGTAAGGTCAATTACAGTGGCTGTATGGTCTAAGACAGGAAATGTTTTCACTCCCTCAGACAATGCAATCGTGGGTTGGAATCCCACTCGAGGCATGTCTGTCTGTCTGCGGTTATTTTATTTTCGGAATAATTCTGAATGGAAGGCCAGACAGCCTGCGCAGTCAAGACGTAAGCAGAGGAAGTGAGGCAAGCAAATGTTAAGCAATACCACACCATCACACCTCAGACTTCAGCACTGCTAACAACTTACATCTCGGAAATATGTAGGGAAAACTTTCTTTCAAGCGTTCCGGACGTAGTGTGGTCTAGATACAGCTGAGACATCCTACTCGGACAGGCGCTTCTCGCATCCCATCCCATTTCTCTTGAACTGACGAGTCGAAACTTCTCCGGTTCAGATCTATTTAATAACAGTCAACAGAATATACGCGTACGTAACGATAATTAGTTGGATATATGTTAGCCATATTTCATCATAGTTCGTCTGTAGGGCTCCTTTTTCTTGTATTTTTACCTCGAGTTTGAAATGTTTCTTATTGCTTTCTTGAGCTATTTTTGGTTTCTTGGGGTGGGGTGAGAGTGAGTCCACTTGGTACGTCGGCCACTAGCTGGCCTATTGTACCAGCCCCGGATGATCAATGATGATAAATATAGAGCAGTCGGTGGAATGAGACTTTGCAGGAGAAACCAAAGTATTCGGAGGAAACCTGCCCAAGTGCTACTTTGTCCACCACAAATCCCACATGACCTGATCTGGGCTCCAACTAGGGCCGCCGCGGTGGGAAGCCGGAGACTGACCTTCAGATGTATGGCACGGCCACTTCTTCGGCTTACTTATCATTACAAATTTTTAAAGAATTGACTGATTTCTATGAAGTATGTTGTGAACGTTATACCATTCGTGGTCGGGCCCATCTCGAATTTCATCGTTCGATATAATAAACATGAAGGGGGTATGAACTTACCAGATTGGAGAGAACTGGCGTCACTACCAATAACAGCGACAAAAATGTAATGCCATGAGATTCTATGTGGTAACAGAAGGTACTTCACAACTGTTCGGCAGTGTTTTTGGAGGAAATTTTATAGGTAAAATCCTCAATGCAACACTGGTTCACTTTTCGACCTTCGAGGAGCCTCCAATGTCTTACGACGTATACATAACTACTCGTATGTTTACTACCATGAAATTCCATAGATGGCAACACTGGTGACGTTTTCCACTGAATTTTAGGCTCACCCGATTCTCAGTTGTTTATAGCCTTTCTTGTTTCTGATCTCTCTAAAAGTCAAATGCGACATTGCCTTGCAAGGAGGACAAACTTCCATTGTCTTCCTCTGTTTTTTCGCAAGATGAATCTATGGGTTATTCTCACTGAACACGCTGACATGCAGTAGCCTTGTTGTGTTGGTAACAGAAGGGCGACAGTTGACGAAGTTGGTCAACTTGCAACTTACGTGAATCAGCTTTATGAGGATCGGTGAATCGGGCTCGATGTCTCGATGGTGCAGTAAACTACCTGCTGAGATCTCCGGACCTGATGCCACTATTTACAATGTAATTAGAAATTGCTGTTGCTGTTTCCGTGGCCTATAATTTTCAAATCGGAAATAACGAAATAAGATTGCTAAGAAATATGAAATTATAACTCAAAACGTTTTATCTGGTATGGCTGTATTTACCGCATTGATGTGTGGGAGAAAATAAGACTCATACCTCAATATGTCAGTTATGAAAACGCGAAGATGTTACAGAATTCAACATGGAAAAGATCAACCTTCAGATAACGCTGTCCGACGTTGGTTCAAGCAGTTTCAAGAGACTGGTAGTGTTCTGCACCGAAAAGGAGCGGGGAGACCGAGCACTTCGCAGGAAGTTGTTGATCGAATCCAGGAAGCTTTCTCTCGAAGGCCACAGAAGTCAACCAGACGGGCTAATTTGCAGTTAGGTATACCACAAATGACTGTTTGGAGACTTGCTTATCCCATAGACAGTAAAACGTTTTGAGTTCGTTTTCGTATTCTTTAAGCAGTTTCATTTTTTTCCAGTTTGAAAGTATAGGCCATGAAAACTCCGACAATAATTTAGTATCATCCCGTATTTTTATTGAACCTTATGAAAGAGATTGCCTACAAGATTAAATTTAGAGGAGAATGGAATTCTTGCATTGAATTATGGGTTCTGATGCTTGCATATGAGAACGGCACGAAGGCAATGGGTAACAAGTTCTCCTTTGATCTGTTGCGGACGCTTTGATCGGCTGATTTAAGATGTATCCTATAAAATTCACCAGTAAATTCATCTGATTAATACTCTCGTTTATTTTCTTCCTCGCGTGCCTAAAATATTCGCAGCTTCGCAACAGTCGGATATGAAACCAATGCTGCATTAACTTCTTTTGTTCGACATCACATTCCGAAGTATGACAGATCGAAAGCTCTCGACTGCACACTCATGCACACGCCATTTTGTCCACCACAAATCCCACATGACCAGACCTAGGTTTGAACCCAGATCGCCGCGGTGGGAAACCAGCAGCGTCTAACCATCTGAGTTATGGCGCGGCCTAGGCACGTTATACGTGGACATTTTAAAAAACTTACGTTCGTACGGTATTTTGAATTCAGTTTTGCGTATTTTGATTTTTTCTAAGTCGAAACAGTTACCTAGCTTAATTAATTAATCACAACCAAAGGAATGACTTATTCGGGAATAGAAGTAGATAGAGCTTCATTCTTTCTTAACTTCTAGCAGTAAATACAGCTGATTGATTTCAAGTCCCGCCCGTCTTAGTCGTGATTAGACAAAATGGCGGAGACAAAAATCTCGTGCCGTATCGGGAAAGGAACTCCAATTCTTCAGTAGTCTACTCTGCAGCATGATCTCTGTTCCGACTGAACTACCTGGCTCGCCTCAACCGACTTACAAACCTTCTTAAATTCTATGAATAAAGTATTGAACTGTCACAGTCAATTTATTATTTCTTGTAAGATTTGAAGTTTTCACGGCGGTGACTATGAAGAAATCAGTCTTCTGGGATTTGGCACCGTGTATATGTGGTGTTAACCGACGTTTCGGAGGAACGTATCGCCTCCATCTTGAGGGTCTTTTCACTTGCGGATTTCTTATATTTTTCCTTATACCCTGAAGATGGAGGCGATACGTTCCTCCGAAACGTCGGTTAACACCACATATACACGGTGCCAAATCCCAGAAGACTGCTTTCTTTATTATTTCTTTTTTGTCAAATGTGACATATTTTATTCACAACTGTTCACGTTACTAGAGTGGTTGAACTAGATCTTTGAAGTACAATAGCTTAGGAGCATACATGCGTGACTTGAAGAATTCAAACAGAATTTTGATCGTTAAGACTTCAGACAGGAGGCTACCTGAAAGGCCTAGCTGTAGAGTGGATGATGATATGATCTTGAACCTTGAAAATATGACGTGGAGGGTACGG